GAGTTCTCTCTTTAAGCAGCGCTGGATGTTCACATTACACGAAACCGTGGCATAATGCTGTATTCATCGATCAACTCGCCATGGATGTAAGAAAAGAAATGTTCCATGCCGTTTATCATGTCAATCTATGCCATTAACTGGTACCATAGTCACGTTAGAAAAATACCGGGCGAATCGGCTTTGAGTCCGGGCGAATCGACTTTTTGTTCGGACGAATCGTCTTCCAGTTCGGGCGAAAGGGTTTCGGGCGAACGGAATTTCGGGCGAAACGACCAGTTACCGGCACACTCGTCGAGAATAACGGGTTTAGTACGAGAATCAAATATGAAATATTTCCTCAAGAATGTAACTTTACTTGCCAGAAAATTAAAATAGGCGGACAAAAATAATTCAACCAGTAGCAAAGTGAAGCAGTCATACTGAATGTCAAACTTACTGTAAACTGCAAACGTACTGCGGCAATAATAGTTTCCCAGAATTTGAACTTTACAGAGATATGCAAGAATATTTTCAAAGAATTTTTGTCAGACTAACTAGCATTTTTAAGAGCGTAACAGAAGTTCCATGCTCGTCACGCAATCTCCAAAAACTCGGACTTTTCCTAAAGGCGCCTTGTTCGTACCATAGTCTGTCAATCCCTTGGTCAAACCTAAAGCTTTAATATTGACTGAACGAATCCAAGAGTAATTTCCTTAAAAAAAGCAGTTGCTTCCTTTGTTTTCATGTCCCAGTGACTAGCACCAACCACTTCCTATATCGATCAGTTGTCGTCACTTCCGCTTTATCATTCTGATGCATGCAATTATCACACGCATGCGCAGGATTTGTTATGAACTAAAAATCCAAGATGGCCGGAGACGGTGACAGAGAGATGATCCTGGCAAACTTTCAGGTAAACGTTGATTCTGTTGTATTCTGTGTGTCTTCCTCTGGATTCGAATTCTTTTCTTTATATCTAATCAGGGCATAACGGGAATCGAGAACCTTGATGAATGCATTACACTTCTGGACCATCACAACTGGGACTTGACGGT